GTTGTCAGAGCTCCGTCGACCCCGCTGGAAGGAAGAGTCCCGCGAGGATCCTCGTCACGGCGCCGCACACCAGCCGGGAATACACCTTTGCTCACTTTCACTCTCAGCCAGGACAGGTAAGTTTCATTAAGGATGTATTGGCCATAAAGTCAATCCCAAAAGTTTATGCAGTTTAGAAACGCATTTTTTAAAAAGAAATCAGACGTCGGAAGAACATTGCTAGTAATAAACAACAAAAAAAAATTTTCGTCATCGTCAATACTTAATTGGATATTTCCTTCTATACTTTTTTAGCACTGTAATTTTAAAAACAATAATTATAACTAACAACGATAGGTTTTAATCGATAATTGTTCTTATCACGAATTTCATTTTGTTAACAGCAAATATTCACATACCCCACTATCAGCTCGATGTCGGGAGTGATCTCCCCGACGAATCTCTCCCTATTCTCTTCGCCGGTTTCGGTGACGAGGCCAGTGGCGACTCAGAGATCGGTCTCTAACGTGCCGCCCCGTTGGAACACCGCGCCGTTCATCAATCTTGAGGATGATTACAACATGATCGCGCCGATCATCACCGGAACCGCCAGCGAGCCGCCTTCCACCATGGATGAAGGTCAGTAGCATTTAATTTTTAGTCTCCAGACTTTTAAAGTGATTTTATTAAAAATCTGAAGTCAAACGAGAATTTCCTTCCTTATGACTCGCGTTATTTGATTTGGTAACGTTAACATAACATGAATATTTAACCGTATATGTATGTTCATTAAGGTTTGAAGAGTAACATACTACAATTTGATTACGATCAGCAATGTTTCGCATTTCAATAGAACCAGCTTAAATTTCGCTTTTGTAAAACTCGTTAACACGAAGATCGACCATCGTCTTACAGAACGATACTTTCACCCTGTTCACACGAGCAGCGTGGTGGACAAGAGCGGCGCTGGTAATCTAATGGGCACCGACCTGGGCGTAGGGACCGATCCAAACTCGCACCACCACCAACAGCAGCAGCAGCAACAGCAGCAGCAGCAGCAGCAGCAGCAAGCTCAACAGCCGCCCCAGCAGCAGCCACCGCCTCAACAGCAGCAGCAGCAACAGCAGCAGCAACAACAGCAGGTGATGCAGGACAAGAGCGGAAGACCGAAGTCCCCCCCGTGACACTGGAGGCTTAGACCGGAAAGCGTCGAGAAGCTCGCATGTTCCACGGGGTCGTTGCTCGCCGGCGTGTACGATAACTACCCGGAGCCGGAGGGGAATCGGCAGGATTCCCCGTGTCGTGTTCAGCTTCGCGACCTAAGCCTGCGGAGAATCGAGTGCCTGAGAGTCTGATCGTAGTTTAAGCGGGCCGTCGAGGGAAACCATCGTGACGCCTGCCCGTGGCGAACGGGGCCTCCTCCTCCCGTTTCGTCGTTACCGCGTTGGGAGGCGAGCCCGGGCATGGGCCCTCGATCCGCGAGACATACGAGGAGCTTCGATTAACCCTCTGCGGCACGGTGCTTTTCGTCGTTTACGAGTTACCGAGGTTTGCAATTATCCTTATATTTCATTTTATTTATTTCCGCGGTGCCTGTCACGAACGTTTCTACGGCCGATTTCATTTATATGAGTCTCTTTCCCTGTTCCAAGTTTGATTTCTTGATCAGAATTTTCTTTCGGAGATTTATCACGCGCTTCATCCCTCTTTTTTTAAGATAGTTGTACATCTAGACGATTCTCTGTCAGCGAGATCATAATTAGTCTTCTTTTTGCGAGGAACGAAAGGCATTTTCCGCCCCCAGGGGGTTAGCGTTTCGGTCAATTATTATACTTCCGCGCCATCGGGAGCGTCTTTCTCCTCTCTCGACGCGCTGTTCAATTTCCAACTCTTTCTCTCTCTCTTTCTCTCTTTCTCTTTGTAAAGTGTCCTCGACGGGCAGTAAACGAGTAAGGACCTCCTCATCTCGTTTCCTAATTAAAATTCATTGTCTCCGATCGTCGCCGATCGGTCCCGTCGATCGATGGAAATCCATAGACAATTTAACAATTAAAAAAAAAAAATACCAGAACAAAGAAAACGGAGAAGTAATCGAAACTATGGTAGAATATCGTTTTCTGCGCGGTTTTATATAATAACTACGATCGTCTATTTTCTATTCTATTTCCGCTTCGTGGCCCTTCCAGAACGTGTCGTTTTGTACATACACGCTCCCGTGGTATTTTGTAAAATTTTAGAGGATCTTAGAGAATATATAGTCTAAACCGACGAGAAAAACGAGAAATACTACCGATCGAACGAGTAAACGAAATTCGTTGCGCTCATCGAGGAAGGGTTCAATATGAAGACGATTAAAAAAAAAAAAGAAAAAAACTAATGAAGTTTCTAGTGCCAATTTCGAGTAGCTTATAAATATTATAACGAAATTATAATTTTCTATTATATTTTTTTATAATATTTATGAAGGAACACGTACACACACATAGACACACACACACACACACGTACACACATACGAGCACACATACGAGCACACGTGACACGCTTGTTTAGTCAAGCACGTGAACAGACGGAGGATAATTCGCGTAGACAAAAAGCTTCTTCTTGAGAGATGAACGTTTTTAAGAAGGCGATCATTCGGTGTAAAGAAGGGAGAAGGTCGAAGGGATCCGATCGACGAGAATCGATCGTAAACGGATGCTAACCGGTCCACGAACCACGGATGATAATATTAATTAAACGCTACTAACGGTAATTGGTAACTTCGTAATCGTATCGTTAATTAATCGCCTAACGCTCAGGCTAGTGCCGATACTAGTGATGAAGAGAACAAAACTTATATGGATGAAACACACGTACACATACACAGATATAAAAAAAAAAAAACGAGTACTAGAGAGAAAGACTAGTTTCGCGTGGACTAGTCACCAGAGGCTGCTAGTTAGAAACAAAGTGAATATTTAATATTGATTATTATATTGATACAAATTAAGCGGTTGAAAATGCAACGTTATTACATGATGAACGCGAGGACGAAGAAACGTTTGAGAAGATGCGGAGGAGGAGGAGGACGTTGAAAACAAATAGAAAAAGGAAACGAACAAAATGAGAGCGAGACTATTAAACGAATATGGAGGAACGAAACGAACACGGGGCGACGTTTCGAGATAGTGAGAGATCTATAGTTAATAATTATAACTATAACTTTAGGAATTTAGTGTAAACCGTCGCGCAACACGAGATATAATAATATGTAATAATATGTAACATCGAAACTCGACGACAACGAAGATCCTAAATACTATAATGTTGTATATTGTCCAAAAGTGCTTTCCGTCGACTGTACGTTAAACGAGGGTGTCTGACGATGCGAGGCGAGGAAATTTCTTTTCCGACTTCAGATTGTACTCGTTCGCCAGCAGAAAAGATCTCCCCTGATCATCGTTCATTTCGTAGATCGTAAAATGTTTGAAAATTCTCCTGCTTACGAGATTTGTACACCGCCGAGCATAGAGAGATCATTGATAGACGTTTCCTGTTACAATATTTTTTCTACGTCAGATATTCCCAGGTGTTATCGATTAAAATGTTTCTGATGGCGAAGCGGTTACAACCACGTGTTTGTATTGCAATTCCCGAGGAACCCCTTCGCTGCAAATGCGCTTTAATGTACTCGCGAGACGACCAGGTCCGAGGCGGTTCTTCCTGGGTTTGCGTAAACCGTTTCACTGGGAACCCGTTTTTCCGTTTTCTCTCATTCTCTCTTCGAGTGAGGTTGAAAGGGTGCGCGGCGTTGCCCATCATCGACGACTGGATCCAGCGATCATTGAACAGCCCATTCGGCCTTCTTATCGTTTAAATTACATTTCGTACATAATGTAGCCGCGCGTTAAAACTTAAGACGACGAGGAAGGTATATATGAGAAAACTGTCATTTCAGTCCGGTTTCTTTCGTTACAAAAGAAATAAGAAGACGGAAAATCGTTCAACAATAATCGAATTGTTCATTGCACACTCCTACCCCGATTGCGTTCGCTCGCTAGTCTGTGCCTTCTATCTAAAATTAACACCTCGTGGTCAACTAACAACGCAAAATTCAGGAGCCACCGCTTCTCCTCATCCCACTTCGCACTTGAATCAAAAACGAGACAAAAAGGGGTCCAGGATCGAGTCGGGATCGCGCGAGGCATGGGGAAAGTTAGGGCACCCTGTCAATCGGTTCGTAGTAATAGTACAAAGAACTTGAGACTAGCGATATATATATATATATACATATATATATAAAATATATATCGATAAAACTATTATAGCGATTAAAACTGAAAAGAAAAAAAAACTGAAAGATGCTTATGGTTTACACAGACTCGAGAGTTAAGGGCAAGAAAGAAAAAAAAACAAAGAACAAGAGAAGTTAAAACGCGGCGATACGATGCTATTCCTATATAAATAATTGCTTATATACAGCTAACACTATTAACGAGGCAACTATATTGTTAATTACTACGAGAGGGACAGGAAAGAAACTGCTACTATTATTGTAACTATTAATACTGTATCACGATTTACCACCCACCACCATCACCACCACCATCACCATCAGCACCGCCACTGAACGAAGAACAAAAAAAAAAAAAGAAACTATTACTACTATTATTACTACTACCACTACTACCACTACTACTACTACTACTACTATTACTATTACTAATTTACAGCTACTCTTACTATTAATTATAAGGCGAATCGTATACAGCTATTACTATTACGCCGCCTGTTTCGACTAATTCATTAATTAAGGGAGAGATGGGCGTTACTACCGCTGACGCTACTACTAATTGTACTCACTAAAACTACTAATCGCTTTACGACTACAGTCACTACTATGGAAAAGGACGAGACTCGTTTTAGTGTAAATAGTAATTAATTAATGAACGCGAGACGATTAGGATAAAACGCACGCTCGGGGCGAACCACCCTCCGGATTTTTACTTGTAATTAAAATGTCTCAGAATTTAAATATTGTTTCGCGTGAGTTACGAGCCTACTTTTAGTAATAATAGGGATCGAAATTCGGAGGGTGCTTCGTTCTGGCAATAGTCATACTTACGCACAGAGAGATACACAACCCTTCCACGCTCTTCGTCGACCACCCTTAATCATATTTAATTTCCTCATTAGAATTTATTAACAGTTTTATTAGATATACTGGCAGAAAGTTTTTAGTCGAGTTCAATACTTGAAATTATTATTACAGTATTTAAAATAAATGTACAGACAAGAATTAAATGAATTTTTGCCAATCTCTGATCTGATTTGTTTTGCTGGATTGAAAATTTTTTGCCAGAAGACTTTAATTTAGAAAATGATCTAGAGCTTCCACCGAAGGTGATTGAAAAGAGCGCGAGGGGTAGACAGGTGTGTAAGGAATTTTTATTACGTCGTTTTTATCCTCGACACGCCGATAGGGATTGTAACGAGGCGACGCGTTTATTTTGTTAAAACGAGGAGTTAAGCGCGTACACTCGATGTGTACGATTAATTAATGAAAAATGAAAATCAGGGTGGTTCGGGATATGTGCAATATACCGCGAACGCACTTGACACGGTGCCGGTGATTATTCAGTTCAATCGTATTCAACAATTGGAAGTTGTACGAGATTTCTAGAGACTAATAATCAAGAATCACGTATTTAATCGTCGTTGATAGAAGAAGAATTAATATCTGATACGAAATATTCTAAACAGTTCCTCTTTGCTATCTTTTTAAATGTAAGAAGGGGGTAGTCGTAGACGAAGAGTTCCCGGTTCCCTTTTTATAAAACCAGAAAGGACGGAGGAGATCCCTCGTGTGCATCCCTTAACGTTTGTAAAAATTCAAAGGGACTATTAGAGAATACGTGATTCGAGGATTATCAGCGTACGATTTCAAGGGTGCAATTAGATTAGAGTGCCAACTAGGGTAGAAGTTATTACTTAAAACGTAGCCTTAGGTCTTCCCAATGGGGTGAAAGGTCGCGGTTAGGTCGGCTTCTAGGATAAAAATTCGCAAGGAGAAATTTTTCTTAATTGTACAATCGAACTTCTTATTTGATTCAAATTGTCCAGTATAAATACTAAATGATTCATAGCCCAACTTTAGTCCCGAATTCAGTCATTTCAACGAAATTAAATTTTTCATTTCAACCATTGTTTCAAAAACAATTGAGAGAAATTTGTCCTGAACATTTCTGCTCAACGTCGAGCT